AAAAGTATAATCACCTAAGATGGGCCTCTAGTATTTCTTGAAAACAAAGATAACATTAAGTACACCTAATTACATATTAATTACAGTGTTTTTACCTTCCATTCTCTATGCACATGAGTTAAAACACACCAGTAAAACATGCCATAAACTAAGGTTTGCTATCTTTACCCTAAATTTAAAAAATTTTAGAATGTATTTTGTCCATGATTTTATATTTTAATGCGTGTTATAAATTTTGAGTGTCAATGCTTTTGTAAATAATCTCAACGACTAGTAAGTTACACTAAAGAATTGTGATATTTTTTTTATCTTTACATATTTGTCTCATTACAGTGTTTTGAAAAAGGAATAAAACCAGTCCAAAAGCTAGACAAAAAGTGTCAAAAGAGTGTTTTTTTGAACATGCCGGCCAATATTCTGACTGCAACCCTAATAAACTGTGTTGTTTATATATATATATATATATATATATATATATATATATATATATATATATATATATATATATATATATATATACAGATTGAACGAAATAAATTCGGAACATAGGAATATAATGTATTTCGGCTCAATTTTGCTGTAGCTGGTTGGCCAACAAAAGATTTTCAAATAATTATATTATAAAAAATCCCATACTTCAGTGGGCTGCTGGATTCTGAACTCATAAAAATTGAAAGCTACACATAAATCTACGATTTTATTATGCTGTCAAACCAGTTATAGTCCAGGAAATGTAGCATTTCACCTCGCAATTTTTTCGTGCGGCGTGGATTGACTTCAAATTTAACAGAAGGTAGGTAATAGCCTAAGGATCAAAATCTATATCGAACCAAAGTGCGCCAAAGCCTAGGGGGTGGTTGCCACCCCATTTCCGGGGTGAAATTTTTTTTACGTTTTAACTACAGATTTCGATTAGAAAAGTGATTCTAAACAAAAAATGTGCTATACATTTTTTTTATAAAATGATATTTTTCAAGTTCTTCGCGATTGAAAGTAACAACTTTTAGACGAAAAAATCCACGTTTTTTATCGATTTTTCGCGAATAACTCGAAAATGGTGCATTTTATCAAAAAAATTGTAGAGAACAAATTTGTAGCTTTTAAAAAGACAAATACAATTACAAATACAATATCAATGTTCAGCGGTTTTCTTCAAATGCCAAATTTGAAAGATTCAAAGTCAAATATCGGGAAAATGATGCATTTTTGGAAGAAAACTCACAAAACGTTTTTTAAAGAGCATAAATAGACCTATCCTAAAAAAATAAGGTCAATACCTCATTTTTTACGAAAAAATCGAGGAAAACAACAACCTAACCACCCCCATAATTAAAATCGATCTTCACCCTTCTGCAATTCCCTTTGTAGATGTATTGTTAATACGTCCAAGAAGTTTGACCCATTTAAAATGCTTAGTTTTAGAAAAAGTACAGCTTAAAGCGAGAAACGATTTACAATTTCATATTTTTTACCCTTCTTTTTTTAAATATGCCCGAAAATACTGAATATATGAAAAAAAATAAAAATTACCAAATTGTAGCTTTTTTTAATGACTAAAATTATCCTTTATTTAGATTTGTTGTACAATGAATATTTGGCGAGATATAGCCGTTTAAAGCATCGATTTACGATCAAGCACCATCTTTTTCGAGCACTTTAAACTCACCCCATTTAAAAACCAAGGGTTCCAAAAAGATTTAATTCACAGATCCTTGTAGCTATTAAAAACATCTACAAATCGTTTTTGAAGAAACATCTATCGTTAAAAATTAAAGGAAATACGTTAAAAAAACCAGTTAATTTTTTCCGGAAAATTCCATTAGTATAGTACAGTATATTTCGGAGCATAATAATCTACAAAACCGGTATATTAGCTAGTGGGGCGTTATACATTCGAAATTTTAAGCGTTCTCATTTTGAAATCCCATACAACAGAATAAAACATCTGCTCATATGTCTATGGCTTGGCAATGAAAATATCAGAGCAACAGATTGGGGATGGTTTTTCAAAGATGGTTTGTTATTACCCGTACGCATAAACAAACAACCTGCACCCGATAAATTTTTGAAAATTATTTTTGCCAATGCAAAAAAGGATGCGGCGTTTCATATGGGTGCAGAAAAGTTGGTTTATACTGTAACTCTACTTGTTCTGGGTGCTCAGGTGAAGGGTGCAATAACAGTCCACCAATAATTGAGGAAGATGATGATGACATGGATCACATGAAGATGTAATTGATGACGAATAAAATTAATATTATAATTGTTTTACCTATAAATGTAAATATTTTCAACTATTTATGTAAATGTATAAGAATATATGGTGCCTTTTTATGTTGATAATTTTTTTTGTATTTAATTCTACTTTTTTCAATTTATATCTTATCAATTAGTTTATAAAAACTGCAATGTTGTAAAGGGTGATTTTCAAAAGTTGAAAAGTTGCAAAATTTTGGCAAAAAATTGTTTTCACCTATAGCACTCATAACAATTGATTTTTAAGGGTTGAAAATGTATGAATTTGTATTTTAAAGTATAAAAAACTCACTATTTAACTAATCCAAACCAAATTTCACTCATCTTAGGATTTGTAATATTATTTTACAATTTTTGAAAATTAGGGGTAGTTTTCACCCCTAAGAACAATCAGGGTTCATCGGCATGACATAAACTATAAAGTAGAGGGTGAGTTGAGCTTAATTCCAAATTTTTATGCAAGTCGTTCCAAGGTGAAATCATTTTCTTCGCATTACTAATTTTTTTATATTAATCTTTAATGAGGGTCGCTTTTTAGGGGTTGAAATATGATGGAACTTTATTGAAAAGCACGAAACTATCATTATTTAATTAATTCAAACCAAATTTTACCCATATTCAGGTTTAATATGTTATTTTATAATTTTTGACAATTAGGGGTAGTTTTCACCCTAAGAACAATCAGGGTTCGTCGACATGACATAAACTATAAAGCAGCGGGTGAATTGAGCTTAAATCCAAATTTTTATCCAAATCGATCCAAGGCGAAATCATTTTTTTAGAATTAGTAATTTTTTACATTAATCTCTAACAAGGGTTGCTTTTTAAGGGTTGAAATATGATGGAACTCTATTCAAAAGTATAAAATAATCATTATTTAATTAATTCAAACCAAATCTTACCCATATTCAGGTTTAATATGTTATTTTATAATTTTTGACAATTAGGGGTAGTTTTCACCCCTAAAACCCTTCAGCGCACTTCGGTTCGATATAGATTTTGATCCTTGGGCTATTACCTACCTTCTGCTAAAATTTCAACTGGATACATGCAGGACGAAAAATTGCGAGGTTTTAACTTTTTTCGAGCTTCAATTCCTGAACTATTACGCCTCCTTAGACAAACCCGTCTTACGCAAACAACTTTGTTGCGAGACAGATAGTTGAACGATATTTTATACAATGTCTATACCCAGGTATGGATTTATTTTTGTCCAAGTTTTATATTGGTCCACTATTTTAAATGCAGTTCAAACAGACATGTATTAAATTGTATGTTCCGTTTTAATTTGGTTCAATCTGTATATATATATATATATATATATATATATATATATATATATATATATATATATATATATCGGATTACACACATGTTTAAACTGCCAGTTTGAAGTATTCCTGACGAGAGATTAATAACTCCAAACACGTGTAGAACAATGGTGACGTTCTAAATAAAAGGAAATGCAACAATTTACTTATATTTGGACGGCGTTATGCTACACTAGACCAAGCGAAATTTTCTCAAATTGTGTATTATGGCACTTTCTGGTGGAAAATAGCAAAAACTATCTACAGAATAAATCCCATTACCCTATTAGTAACGGTTATCCAGATATATTTAAAAAGACCAAGTGCCTCTCTTTTTATTCTGGATTTTAAATTTTGCATAACTAGACCAAGCAAATAATTTTGTGCATTAGTTTTCCATCAGTAGACCAAGCGGCTCTTGTGAGCGTTTTAATGATTGTAAATCAAATATTTGGCACCATGCGTAAATAAATGATGTTGATAATAACTTAATGTGCACTTAGAAGAAGCTAAAATGCATAATCTAGAAGAAAGCTAGAGATGAAGATGAGCAGAAGTGGAAACTTTTTGTTCTGATTTAGAAAAAACTCTTCCCCCTCCGAGAATTCCAACAAATATTGTATATTATAAGCGTAAATTATGTGTATTTAAAACCTTGGTGTCCATAGCGCCAAGGATAACAAAGGTCATTGTTATGTTTGGATAGAAGGTGAAGCTGTCGGAGGGCCCAAGACGTAGGTAGTTGTCTTAAGAAACACATTGAAGAAAATGTTACTTCTGCAAAACATGTAATTTTTTGGCAGCTCCTGTGGTGGCCAAAACCACAACATCAAAATAGTTTTGATTCTGAAAACGATTTTGGAAACTCATCCTACCATTGAAAAAATTACATTACGCTATCTCTTTCATGGTTATAGCTTTTACCCAATGATAGTGATTTTTTAGATTTTGAATATGCCTTAAAATTTCAACAACGTTTATACACCGTTGATGATTACCTAAACGTGATGAAGAAATCTCGTAAAAAGAACCCACTAGTAGTTCACAGAATGAAAAGCAAGAATTCGTTGTAACAAAAAGTTGGACACTATGATTACAAATCGTAAAACAGACATAGAAAACAGTAAGGTAAGCTGGCTTAAAACAAGAAAAATTGAAATAAGAAATAATAACCACTGTGGTTGAAGTAAATCTTCACAAGAAACTTCAAAAAGAACGGCTCGTTGCAATGCAATCCCTAAGTAAACACTTAATTCCTCTTTGGCTCAGAGGCAAGCCGCTTTCTGTGCCTAAGCTTAACGACTTAAGATCTTTAATGCACCTAGGTTTCTAAACATTTTATTTACCTTCCTTTCTCCGATATTTAATATTATCTCAATACATATATATGTACACAAATATATTATTATTACTGTTACTATTACTATTACTTACTATATGTGCGCCCTGATAAAAATTAACAAAGAAAAATAATGAAGGGAACCAGTTTTCAGTGCATGCTTTTTGATTAGCAATTATTGAATAAAAATTTGCTGGACCTGGTATTATTGTCGTCCACGAAGTTCTACTTAGGATCATGAATACAACAATCGTACAGTTTAACCTAAAATGTAAATAATAATTTATACCACAAAATTTATATTATCTCTACTTTTATAATATATAACTATAATTGTTTAAAAGAAACTATTCTAAAAAGTGATAAATTACTTTGTTTTTATAGAATTACAAATAATAACTGAATTAGTAAACTCTTATAAACTTAGTTTTCTCCAGTTTACACCTTTGTTCGAAAATATAAACTACTATAATTTATGGGAATAAATCATAATTATAGTGAAAAAAAAAGTTTATTTGACGTTTATATTTTCACCTTTAAAATCGTTATAATAATACACAATAAACAAATACCATCAATACCATCAATATACCATCAACTATAACTATCAGCGTACGAGAAACATCTCCTGACATGGGAAAAATTGTTCATTGGTTGGAATAGAGGTTATTCCAACTTTTGGGCAATTTAAAATTTCCCATTGGCCGATTCTACGGGAAGTCTACATTCCTACGTCATAATCCTTTAGAACAAAGGATTTTCGGATATAAAAGAAGGTGGATTTTCTGTAGTCAGCCAGTTCGAGCTTACCCTCGTAATAGAAGACTCTAGGTACGGTGTATTACATCCACCTAGAATCTGCCTTATTATTTTCCTATATTTTTATATTGATTTATTGTTGATTTTAATTTGATTTTGTGTGCATTTTTATGTATTTTGTCGTATTTTCTACTGTGATATTCCTCCGGTCATACACAGATAAAGTACTGTCTGGTACTTTGTTCATGTAAGAAATTGACTGTCTTTCTCAAGACAGTCTCCTCTGTACCACACTTATTTGCTATTATTGTTGATATTTTATTTGTGTTTTGTACGTTTCTTACGGGAACCTCTCTGAGGCATAGCGTTTGAAACCTACACATTTATTTGATATTTACCATTTGCCATTTTATTGTGCTATATTTTTCGTCGGAGAATATATTCTTGCGTAAGCTAAACGGTTGACAATCCTCCACTTATTTTTATTTGCTCGTATATTTTTTACGGAAACCTCTCTGAGGTATAGCGTTTGAAACATACACATTTATTTTTATTTGCCATTTTATTGTGCTGTATTTTTCGTAGGAAAATATATTCTTGCGTAAACTAAACGCTTGATAATCCTCCACTTGTTTAATTTATTTGTATGTTTCTCACGGAAACCTCTCCGAGACATAGCGTCTGAAACATACGCATTTACTCGTTATCATTGCTATTTTATTATTGCTGTTTGATTTACCATTTTTTTTATTTTGTTATCCTTCCGTAAGTCAAGGAGACACAGGACACGTATCAGTATTTCTTCTGTAAGTTAAGAAATACCACCATATGGCTTTTTATGTTACTGTTGATATCCTATTCTTATATAAAGGTCATATATCTGTTTATTCTTTGTTTATTTACCATTTTTAAACATATTCGAACTCACTGACTTGTGATATTTCCGTAAGGATCAAACACGAGTCAGTGTATTGCCCGTATTTGTATCCTTGTATACATAAACCTGAGGACTACAACTTAGAAAGATGGTAGACACCAGTATCACCTCCCGATCTATTCACAGGATTGCAAGAAGACTGTTGAGCCAGATACGGGCCTTTCCAGCCCTATCGACGCCTCACGGCAACATGGGAAGCTTACGGCTGTTTATTTTCTCCCTTTAAATTTCACTATAATAAGTAACCGTTTAAGAGCTACGAGGGCAAAGAAACTTTGTCAAAAGAAAATGTAAAAGAGTATTTTTGAAGTGTGTATATTTTAAGCAATTCCTAGCTGAGCGCTTTCGGCTTTACAAAGCCATCATCAGAGCTATGCTACAATAAAATGTTTTTATAAGTACTAATTGGTGAAGATTAAAATTTTTAACTTACGTCAATTTATAAATACCACTACAATGGAGAGATCTCATTTCCTTATATTTCAAAATTATGATTTTTTAGTTGTTGAAATTCTTAAAAAACATATAAAAAACATTTAAAAACCGACACTGGACTTCACAGACACGTTAAAAAGATTGAAAAAAAATTTTTGTCATGGTACGGGTGTAAGAACCCGACCATTGATTGATGTGAGGAGGTAGACAGAATAGAACTAATGAAATCAAATGTCGGTCCTTTTAACCGATTTTTCGAAAGTGACAGTTGACAAATGTCATATATAGGAAATAGAGATTGTTTTTTAAATTCTTACAAAATTATTTAATAGTTTGGAATTACTTGGCTATCATCAAAGCTATGCGTATTTTTGATGTTGCAGATCTAAACAGTTTGTAATTGGTGCAATTGTACCATTCTCTCAAGTTTTTCAACCATGAATGCCTTCTTCTTCCTATAGATCTCTTTCCCATTATCTTTCCCTGTTTAATCAATTGCAGCAACTGATATTGATCTCCCCTCATAACATGTCCCAAATATTGTAGTTTGCGCTTTTTAACAGTAAGTATCAGCTCTTTCTCTTTCCGCACTCTCCGCAAAACCTCCACATTTGTTACTTTCTCTGTCCAGGGTATTTTTAATATTCTACGATACATCCACAACTCAAATGCTTCTATCTTTTTGGTATCGATCTTTTTCAATGTCCATGTTTCCATCCCGTACCCGTAGAGGAGAACTGACATAACGTAACATCTCAAAAGGCGAATTTTAAGTTTTAGACTTAGATCTCCTCCGCAGAACACCTTTTTCAATTTAGTAAATGTGGCTCTAGCTTTTTCTATTCTGGTTCTGATTTCTTCAGAGCAGTCATTATTTTCGTTGATAACAGTTCCTAGGTAATTATATCTTCTTACACGTTCGATTCTTTGATCATGCACGGTTATGTCAGGGAAGTTTTGTGGTGATTTAGATATTAGCATTATTTTTGTTTTGCTTATGTTAAGTTATAATCCGTGTTCTTCACTGCATTCTACTATTTTGTTAATTAGTATTTGAAGATCTTCCCAAGTTTCTGCGATTAGTACCGTGTCATCGGCATATCTCAAGTTGTTTATTCGGATGCCATTTATCTTAATACCTATATTTTGATCCGAAAGTGCTGTGTTTATAATGTCTTCGGAGTATAGATTGAATAAGGTCGGTGAGAGTATACAACCCTGTCTTACACCTTTCTTGATCTCGATTTCCTCCGTTGTCTCTTGCTCTATTCGGATATTTGCTTTCTGGTTATAGTAAATCTTAGAGATAATTCTAATGTCCCTTTTATCCAAGTTTTTTTCTACTAGCAGTTTCATTAAGTGGTCGTGACGAACTTTATCAAACGCTTTGTTGTAATCAATAAAGCACATATATATATATCTTGGTTTATATCTAGACATCTTTGGCATATGACGTTAAGTGCAAATAGTGCTTCTCTTGTTCCAAGCCCGTTCCGAAATCCGAATTGAGTATTACTAATATCTGCATCTAGTTTTCTGTTAATTCTTGAGTGGATTACTTTGATGAATACTTTTAATGTATGCCCCATTAAGCTTATAGTGCGGTAGTCAGTGCACTGTTTTGCATTTGCCTTTTTTGGTAAGGTTACAAAAGTTAAAAGTAGCCATTCCTTTGGTATTTCTCCTCTTTTGTAGATGCAGTTAAAAAGGTCGAGTAGAATATTCACCGATTCGCCTTCCACAAGCTTAAGAAGTTCTGATGTGAGCCCGTCTGGACCCGGTGATTTACCATTTTTCATTATTTTTATAGCGTATATTAGTTCTTCTTTAGTTATTTCTGGTCCTTCGTCGACTTGCAAGTTATCTATATTAGGTTCTTGTCTTTCATCGTCGAACAATTCTTCTACATAGTTCTTCCAGGTCCTAAGCTTTTCTTGTAGATCGGCTATTATTTCACCATTTGCGTTGCATAGGAGATTGGGATGTTTTCGTTTTTGTGTACCTGTCAGTTCCTTTATCTTTTTATGTAAGTTAAAAGTGTCATGTTTGAGATGTAGTTCTTCGATTTCCTCGCATTTTCTTGTATAAAAATTTTCCCTTGCAGTTCTTATTTCTTTTCTGATTTGTTTGTTTACTTCATTATATTTTTGGCTGCATTTTCCCTTTAACTGTCTTCGCTCTTCCATGAGACCTAAAATTTTTTCTGTTATCCATTCTCGTCCTTTTTTCTGTTTCTCTTTGGTAAGCATTTTCTGGGCAGGTTTTATTATGGCGTCTTTTAAATCTTGCCACTTATCTTTTACATGCGTGTTCTCTGTCTTTGTAGAAAGCATTCGTAAGTTATCATTGATATATTGTTTTAAATCTTCTTTAATTGTTGGATCTTGTAAGCGGCTGGTATCTATGTGATCTATTTTTGTTTTATTTGAAGGTCTTTTGAGTCTAATGTGTACCCGCGCTATCAGGGGGTTATAATCTGAAGAAACATCTGCGCCTGAATAAGCCTTAACTGATCTTATACAGTTTCTGTATCGCTCATTTATTAAAATATAATCTATTTGGAATTACTAATAGTCATCAAAGACTTTCTTAAAAGTAAGTTTTTAAATTAAATTTTATGTGTTCATCATATCATACAGAACGACATTAGTTTGTAATAAAACTAAAACATAAAATTTAATTTAAAAACTTAATTTTTAGAAAGTTTTTGATGACTATTAGTAATTCCAAACTATTAAATAATTTTGTAAGAATTTAAAAAACAATCTCTATTTCCTATATATGACATTTGTCAACTGTCTCTTTTGAAAAATCGTTTAAAAGGACCGACATTTGATTTCATTAGTTCTATTCTGTCTACCTCCTCACATCAATCAATGGTCGGGTTCTTACACCCGTACCATGACAAAAAAATTTTTTCAATCTTTTTAACGTGTCTGTGAAGTCCAGTGTCGGTTTTTAAATGTTTTTTATATGTTTTTTAAGAATTTCAACAACTAAAAAATCATCATTTTGAAATACAGGAAATGAGATCTCTCCATTGTAGTGGTATTTATAAATTGACGTAAGTTAAAAATTATAATCTTCACCAATTAGTACTTATAAGAACATTTTATTGTAGCATAGCTCTGAT